CCCCTAATAATACTCATAAAAAATTATTAAATGAAATTTAAAACCTGTCAACGAATTTTGTTTAGTAAAAATAATAATAATAACAAAAAATTGTTCATTGTACTCACATTTGAGGTAGAGGGGGAGGGTACTGGGGGATAAGGGTGATTTTTTAGGGGTATATAATAATAGCCAGGGCCGGATTCAGGTGTGGGCATAGTGGGCATTTGGCCAGGGGCCTCCACAATTAGGGGCCTCCACATATAATTGTCATTTAATTTTTATGCATGTTTTTTGTGGTTCGTAGAGTTAAAGTACGTATCAATGACAATAAAGTAATGTAATTATAGTAAAGTAACAGCACCTAAAATTATATACCAACCATACAAATTTTTTTCGCACATACCATGATAAACTGTACAACAAAAGTAATATATTTATCTAAATAAAATATTACATGAGACAAAAATATATTATTTTGTTTAAATAAATCATCTTTTGTTTATATTCAACTTATATATTATATTCAAAGTTTGAATATAATATATAAATATGTGAAATTGAAACTAGTTGTTTGAATTTCAACATTCAAAGCCTTATTTAAATGTTAACTGCATGTAATCTTCAGATTATAGTTTAAAACTATTCAAATAATTCTCATCTTTTTGTAATTTTTAATTCATATTCAGTTTTAATATCATATTGAGTTCTTGACTTCCATTCAAGGCAAAGTTTCTATGCTATTATCTATCATCAATCACTATGTTTTAACAATAATATAAACTTATTTGTTGATAGCACAACAATTTTTTATTAAACATTCACATGCAACATTCCTATTTTATAATGTTTTTTTATAATGTAATGTATTTTTTAGAATAAATAATAATTAAATAAGCTTTTGGTTTTTGTAATACTTATTTTAATTTATATTTAGATAAAATTAATGGACACTGAAAGACCCATAGATCTACGACAGTTTCAAAGTGCTGCAAAAAGGAATGCATCAAAGGATCGTTCCGAACGAGAGGCTGAGGAAATTAAACAAAACACCTCGAATTATTAAATCCTAAATTGGTCAATCAGCTACAGAAAATGAGACACCAGCTTCATCATGCAGTATGTCTATTGCTTAACAAAACCCGAGGATAGTCAGAATGTTGAGAAAACAGACATTGCATTAGAGCAAGAATTGCCTGAATGTCAAGGCAATCAAGTGAATATACAAGCTGATGACATCAGCAGGTGGCCAGAAAAAGTCACAGCAAAATTCATCAATTACTGGACTAGCAGAGGTCCTATGGATCTCTACCACAGTGATGTCAAGTCTTTGAATGATAAATCAACAATCCAGAAAGCTGCAAACAGCGTCAGTCGGAAATGTACACCAATAATCATTCAGCGATCGAATCGCAATGGAGAAATTAAAAAAACGTTCTTGGCTTTGCTTTTCTCCGGCAAATGGTCGAGTTTACTGTTTTTTCTGTATGTTAATGGGTACTGTAAGATCCTAATTTACACACGATGGTTTCTGTGATTGGAAACATGCTACGGATTGACTCAGTTCACATGAGCAATCCAAAGATTATATTGAAGCTGTTTGGAAAACAGCAAGTCGTGCTAAAAAAAAGCTGGACGTATAAACTCTGAACTTGCCCATGAAATGGATTGACATGAACATTATTGGCGTAGTCTGCTTAAATGACTAATCAGTGTGCTTAAGTTTGTATGTGAACGAGGCCTCGCTCTTCGTGGAGATAATGAAACGATTGGATCGCCTAACAATAGCAATTATTTAGGGTTACTAGAACTTTTGGCAGAATACGATGGTTTTTTAGGACAACACATGAAAAATCTTGCCAGTTGTGGTTCTGGTCATACAAACTATTTTTCATCTACTGTCTGTGAAGAATTTGTTAGACTAATGGGCAATCGAGTTTTAGACGAAGTCATTTCACGCTTAAAATTGTCAAAATACTATTCAGTATCTCTTGATTCTACTGCTGATAGAGGTCATGTTGATCAACTAACTCTGATATTCAGATATATGGAACAAGATAGACCAGTTGAAAGATTCGTTAAATTTTTGCTGAATCAAGGACGCAAAGAGGAAGAAATATTTCGTGGATTAATGAATTTCCTTGAAGACCAAGACATTGACATTCAGAATTGTCGTGGGCAATCTTACGATAACGCTTTAGCTATGAGTGGGAGATACAATGGCCTTAAAGCTAAAGTGTCAGATGTAAATCATCACGCAACTTGGATACCCTGTGCTGGACATTCACTAAATCTGGTTGAAGTAGCAGCGAGCAAATGCTGTGCTTCAGCAGTAGCATTTTTTGACTTTCTCGAGGCACTATATGTGTTTTTCACAGCTTCCTCAAATCGTTATGCACTTATCACAGACTCTCTGAAAAGTGTGGAATCTGGTTGGGTGCATGTACAGAAAAGGGTGTCTACAACACGTTGGTCCTGCCGATCCGATGCAGTAAAAGCTCTCATCGTTGGATATCATCCTATCCGCAATACACTTCAAAATATATCGGAGAATGAAAATGAAACACCTAAAGCAATTCCGAGGCAAATGGTCTTTATGGCAAGATGTGCAAACTAAAAACTGGTATCTATGCTGCATTTTGGCATGACATTCTTGCTCGAAGTAATTCTACAAGTCATATACTGCAAGATTACAAAATCGATCTGAACACAGCCATAGCAGCACTGATGTCTCTGCAGTGTTTTGTGAGTGAAAAACAAGAGCAGGAAAAAGGGAAGGAGATGTCTGGAACTGATGAATATGTAAAAGCACGCAAGCGTTATCAAAGCGTGCTGCTCACTCATTAGATTATGGAGGATCAGGAGAAGCTATACTTACGGCATCTGAAAAATTTCGGGTTCAGAACATTCTCCCTGTAATAGATCAATGTCAAACCTCTTTGAATCAACGCTTACAAAATATGAGAATACCTGTTTTCTTTTCGGTTTTTTGAGAAAACTGGATTCACTGGAATCAAAAGAAAATTGGTTGATGAATATAAGGATGATTTAGATCCAGCACTTAGTGGTGAGCTTGTGCAGTTTACAGCTTTCTTCACTGTATTTCTTCTTGAAGAAGATGATAACATTGGGAGGGAACATTTTCTTTACAAACTATTGCTGAAGAAGCAAGTTGTAGATAAATTTCCAAATGTTGAGATAATGTTACAAATGTACTTGGTCCTAATGATCACAAACTGTTCTGGGGAACGTTCGTTCAATAAAATGAAGTTCATAAAGAATCGACTCCGCACTACAATGACTCATGACAGCCTTAGTTTTTTTTTACTCAGAGAGATTGACATTAACCAATTGATTCAAGACTTCGCAAAGATGAAGTCTTGTAAAGTGCCGCGCTTGTTTAATTTCAATTCATCTGATAATTTCAATTCATATGTTTCCCTTCTCCAGATATCTTCGACTTTGCGTGTTAATTGTGCTTAACTATTTGCTTGTTTATTAGTGAAATATAAATATTTCATCAATCTGTTGTGCATGTACAGTTCTTAATATAATCACATTATTATGAATAAGATTCCTGCCTTTTTGTTTTTTTAAGGTAGAGTGTTTTATTTAACTGTATGGTTCAACTATGTTAATTCAAGATGCTTAAGAAATGCACATCACTATTATTAAAAATATATAGAGTTATCTTTTTTGTATTTTTAAGGTAGAGTAGGCCTCAATAAAATATATGCCCAGGGTCTCCACATATCTAAATCCGGTCATGGTAATATTCTTCACATTTGAGGTAGCTGGGGTGTTTTTTTTTGGGTTTCTTTGTTTACAGGCTTCAAGAAGCGTTTCTGATATGTCGGCAATAAGGCTAATTTATGCCTACTTTATGCCTACTTCGTCCACCCCCCCTGCATTTTGCAATACGCTTTATTGAGTACCCTCCACCTCCCTAAAAGTACCTATGCTTTTAACTTATCTATCATTTTATGATATTTTTTTAATATAGTGTCTCCTTTCTTTTATAATTGACCCACTGCCTTCCCATCTCATATACGCAATTTGTATATACCCCTTCTTCCCCTCCGAGCGTATGTACTTTATGGACGATCCCTTATAGTGGAGTTATTTCAACAATGCAATATTAAACCCTAAATTTTTTTTTTTTAATTTTTTGCATAAAAAGAATGGTATCACGTAGTAATAGAAAATATATACATTCAATCTTGGGACCTTTCCTATTTCTCATAATGTCTGATTTTTGAACGTTTATTAAAACAATTTTTGTCAGCTTGATGACTCATTGGTATTTTTGTAAGCAATGCCTTCTCAATTTTTTTAAACCATTAAAGTTAAAATAAGATACCCCATTACAAAAACTTTAAAATACCTTGCGGGAGCCTTTTATGTTTCGAGATAAACGTAAGATAAAGTTAAAAGATAAAGATAAAAGATTAGATAAAGTAGGCCCCAAGTTCAAAAATGTGTGATTTCAGTTTATGAATTTTAGACATGGTAGGGTTTTCCTCAGTTTTTCTTTTTTTTTTTCTTTCTACCCCCGGTGGGAAATCGGCTATGATAAAAATAGCGATTTGATTACGAGAACAGCTCGCTTAATAAGCTAAAGACCCACAGGCTATTGTAGCTAGCGTCATATCGGAATAAAATCGCTGTCTAAAAAAATTTGATATGTAGTTATCCACCAGCTATAGATTTGTAGATATTTTGTAGCAAGCTACAAAACTACGAAGCTAAAAAAAAATTAGAGGCTTCTTTCTTATCCTACTAGCTTACTATATAAAAAATTGTGCGTGATTAAAGGATATTACTTTTGAGCCAACAACAATTTTGCCTGGTTTTCTTCAAAAATGGTTCTCAATTATCATATTAAGCATTTAGTAATTATACTTTTTAACATTAAAATTTTTTTTTTGTAACATATTTGTCTAAAGCATTTGATCTATTTTCGCATTTCAGCCTGTCACGCAAGTAGTTTTGTTTTTTGAGTATAGTTGTCGAGCTGAGTTAAAATATTACGCTCATACACAACTTAACGTTTGGAGGAGGTTTAAACATCCAAAGGAAGGTCGATGAACCGCGAATGAACAATTGAATATTTCCTACCTTACCTTATTTCAGCTTATGATAATTTTTTATTTTTTTTCAAACACAAATTTTTAAATTCATTTATCGGGAAAGTTGTATCTAGAACTTATAATGTTTGGCCATATTAAATTTTCTGATTTATCAAGACTTGGAAAAGCAGTTGTTCAGGTATTCTTAATGTTTATGTTTTATAGCTTTACATTTTTACTAAAATTTCAATTTTCATAACGTCTCGTTATTAGTAGGGGTCAAATCGATGTATAGTAAATTAATAACGATATACGTCATGTTTTATGAGAGTGTATTGCCTAATGTTTTAAAGTCTACAAATGTTGTATTAGTGTTAGTTTGTGTATAAAGCACAAATACTATAACTACTATAAGCACAAATACTATAACTACATAAGGTTTTCTCTAAAATAACGTGTTGCTGCACCCGAAAACTGTTAGCTGTAATTAAGTATGTACTTAAAGTTTTGGCTGAAGTTTTTTATTGTTATACAAAAGTATAACTAAATTTAGTAAAGGTTTATGGTGATATATAAGAAATTAATGTAGCAAAATTTTATGCTGATTCAGATTTATATTAAAGCCTGGAAATAAAAGGAAAATACTCTTATTTGATCTTTCATTAAAAAATACTTTTAAAATATCGAATATTTGACCTGATTTTCTGAAATTGTTGATGTGCTAAATTTAACCTTTATATGCTGTCATAGATAATAATTTTTCAACAAAAAATGTCTGTAATGCTTAAGTCATACTAAAATAACTAGCTGCACATACATTGAACTACTAAAAAAGAATTATATTTTAGGAGTGCTGCTACATTGACTAAGGGTTTGTGTTTAGGCAGCAACCATTTTTTTAATTTTTCATCTTTTTTTTTTCCTTCTGAAAAAGCTGTATGAAATAAAATAGGCAAAAAAGTTAGCAAATGTATATTTATATAGACTATAGTAGATAGTATTTTTAATAACTTTTTTTTTTCAAATTGTCTGTCATTCTGTTGCTTAAAATTGTTTAGCCACGAAACCTGCATATTTCTTTTGTGGATAGTTTGAATGCACATTTCTTTTGTGGATAGTTTGAATAAATGTTAGATTTCTCAACAAATCTCTGCAGAAAAGGGATTTAATTTATGGTGTTTCAAGCTTTCCTGGGAAGCACTTGCGATCGCACATCTTGTTCGTCCATGTTTAAAGTAATTTTTTTAAACAAACTGACCACAACAGTTCACAACTTATAAAGCGTTTAAATGATTCACAGAAAATCCTAAAAAAAGGAAATAAAATTGTAACAAAATATCAAGTTTAATAGCGTAAACTAGAAAATTTAATAATTAAAATAAATAAAAAAAAAATTTCATAAAATTTCTATATAATTTTGTATTTTATTTTTTTAGAGTCATTGTTGAAAAAAACAACAATTGAAAGTTTTGATATGCAATTTATTCACCATTTTTATCAGTCCATTTAATTAAGAAACTACTATGCTACGCTAGAGTTATGAGAAATTGTGTTAATTTTTTTTTCTTATGTTTATTTGTTTTGTATGTTTTTTCGCTTTTAAAATATTTTTGCTTTATTTGATATTTTTTTCTCGATACTTATATAATAAGAATATAAAAAAATAAATTTTTATATATTGTAAAATTTATTATTTGATTAAAAAGTTTGCAATGACAAAATAAGTTGAATAAAAGAAAAACATGATTTCTTTAAATAATGTATTTACTGCATTTGATGCATGTCTGAAATTGTTTCTTTTATATTGCCCAATTTCCAATATTGATGTGAATTACTAGAAATAATAAGCATAATGGTTGCTCTGTTTAAAAAAATGTATTTAAAAACTTAAAAAAATAGTTTTAATTAGGTTCCTAAACGTTTCAATATGAAATTTCAGTAAATTAACAATGTGCTAGCCCACAAGCTTTTGGAGCATCGTCAATAACAATAGTTCACGAGGAAATAAACTATTGGGTTTAAATACACAATTTGTATAATCCTACAAAAGTGCAGACTATTTAAATGAGAGTATTATTAAAAATAACCAAATATTTTATATTTAAATATTAGCATGAAAAGCTTTTTTTTTTTTTTTTTAAAAAATTTTTTTTACAAATAAATAGCAATTAGTTTCCTTGCTTTCCTGTGCATTGATAAAAACAATAAAGTTTAACAGAAACATTTTAAAAAAAAAATTTTAATTTGTCTATGTTTCTAGTGCAAATTATAAAGTATTTCCTTAACATACTGGCTGAAAAAAATAGGAAAAAATTTGTATATTGAATAAAATTTTTATTTTTGTGATATTCTCATCTACTTTTACTTTCCCTGACTTGTATCAATTTTAATAGTGGAAAATAACATGCTCCCTAAAAATAAGAAAACAAAAACAATAAAATTCTTAAGTTTATTATTTTTTTGACAAGAATTTAATTTTTTTAAGCTTATTTTATTAAGATTTTCTTTGATTCTTTTCTTTGAGTATTGCTGTTTTATTCTCTCTAGTTTCTTATAGCGTTATTTTGCCTCAAATTCTTAGAACGCTTACTATATAAAAATGTGGTCATGTTGTTTAAAAAAATAACTTTAAGCGAGGAAGAACAAGGTATGTGATTGCACGCGATTTCTGGGAAGGCTTGCTGTTGCCAAGTCCTATTCTTACCTGAAATAACTTTATTGTTGCACAATTTTTCCAGTCTGCAGTATGTCACTCTTGTGATAAATAATAAAATATTTTAAGCAAATGTAATAATTTTCAATAAATCAAGTTTGATAAATAACTATATCAAAAATTATGATTATATATTATTTTTATATATTATAAGATATAATAAATTCATTTAACTCAGACAATCTGTTTATTAATTATTGAATTTTTAGACATCAAAAATCAAGTTTAAAATTAAGTGTTTGATGGTCAAAATCTTATATGGGTTTTGGTTGATTAGTTACTTCCATAGGTAATCATCCAAACTGTATTGGATTGGTTACCAATGTGTGTTCTGAAACCTAATAAAATTTGTTGCAATGAATATTTTGTTAAGTTTTTTAGATTTATTTGTATATTTGCTAGTTAGTTCAATAAGATGTTAAATTTTAAATTTATTATTTTTTCAGAATATAAAAAAAAAAAAAAAAAAAAAATGCTCCTGAACTTGGGCCACTTAAAAAAAGTCAGATAAAAATAAGGCTTTATCAATAACATCATATTAAATTTACAATCTTTTGCAATAAAGTTGTTGCATTTTCGAGAAAAAAAATTAAAATTAAAACAATTACTATTTTAAATTTCTGTAAAATTGTTATATTAAGTAAAAGGTTTAGTAATAAAAATTTAATTTAGAAACATTTGAAGAAACCATTATGAGTCTAATATAATTTTAAAAAAATATGTAAACAACTTTAGAAATACTGATAAAAATTTTATTTAGATTTTTTTTAGGTTTTTTTATTTTGTTTATTGCAATCTTTATATTACTTTAGTGTTATATTTAGTATTATTAAATGACAAAGTATTTGTTATCTTAAACAACAATCTGGCAAAAAAATATTTTGTATTTTTTTTCCTATAAAAGTATACTAACTAGAATTTATTTTTTTAAATCTTCATTGGATTGTTTTGCATATTCAAGAAATTTATATTATTTGTCCATATAAGAATATACTTAGGATCAGTTTATTATATCAAAATGAAAAAACATACTTCTTTTCAGAAGTATTTATCAATAAATGGACTTAATTCATTTTATCATTAGTATCACAGTGAAACTATGTATGATACTTCTTAATTGTGCTATTATTATTTAGAATAATATATATAGATTTTTAATCTATGCATATTATTCAAGTTCATAGACTTCATGCAGAGTACCAAAAAGGACTTTAGAAGGAAGTCATAAAAAGATTACTTTTTTTTAGTTTTTGGTATTCAGGAACTCTAAAATTATAAAATAGCTTATGGACTGCTGATGGGAAAAAACTCAAGACATTTAGGTTAGAGGAACAATGTGTTTTTGAACCTGAAGTTCATAAGTATAATGGTGGTAAGGACTCCGGGCTTAAAAACCATGAGTTCCAAGTAATTAAATCTTATAAACTTTTTTCTTATAGCAGATTATAAGTCAGTCAACATGTTTAGAGCTTCTGGACACCAGAGACTTGGAAAAAATAGAAATATAAAGCTGCTACTCTGCCAGGAAGCATATTCTATATTGTAAAGAATATGCTTTTCAGATTAAAAAAGAAATGCTTTAAATTTTTATTTAAAAGTAGACTTGCTTCCTTCTGTTTTGGCAGAAGGAAGCAATTCCACTTCATGAGTTGCATTTAAAAACTTTGCCTTGTGTGCACAACATTTAGACATTCATTAGATTGAAAGGTTGGGGGAAATCATGGTATTTGTTTAAAAAAAAATTTTTTGAGGAAATTTTTTATTGGAAGTTATAAATTAAACTTTCTTTTTTGGAAGTTTTAAATTGAACTTTTGTAAAATTGTTAAAGTTTATTTTACTATAATTTCTTAATATACTGAAAAAAGTTTAAATATAAAACTTTTATAAGTATTTTCACAGAATAAAAAAATTTCAGTGAAAAATACATATTTATTAGTTTATGTCTAACTCAGCGGGCACAAAGTGCTTCTTAGTCATCTTAAGAATGTTTTATGGACATATGGTGTCTATAAGATGTTCTATGGTAGTACTGCGCTCAACTTGTTTCTCCATACAATATGAGCATAGTATAATAATGTTACAATAAAACTTGAATATATCGAAGTATTTATTTAAAAATGCAGATTTTTGCAACTGTTAGAAAATAAAAACTCAACTTGAGCTACAAAACTTTTTTTGTTCGGTTATTTAAAAAAAAAAAAAAATCATACTTTCAATAAGCAGCTGAGAGCTGCCAAACTATTTGAACTAAAATGTGAGTACTGCACCCAGTATCCTTAAGACTAAAACATTTTTCGATTTATTTGAAAATGCCCAACACTTCTTTTATATTTTTATTTATTTAAATAAGTTTTTTACTCAAATGATTATTTGTTATGGTTGTTGGTTACTAATGTGTATAATTTTTTTTTTCTTCTCGCAAACTTATAGTTTATTAATTTGATCAATTATTGGTTAGGGAGAAAGAAAAAAAAATTGATCTATGCTACTCTCCTCCAAAGTAATACTGCTTTTTGATTTTTTTTAACTCTTCTTTAGCCATGAATAAGAGTTTATTTAACTTGTTGTTTTAAATCATTGGAAAAAATTAAAAGTTGATAAGGGTGTTTAATATAAACTTTTTTAGTCCAAAATTTCTTTCAAACTAAATTTTATAGATTTTATTTTAAAAAAGATCAAATCCCCAATTAGCTCAATAAATTTTGTATATTTTTCCCCTTTTTTTTTTAGGTTTCAAAGCTTTCAACTTCATCAAAAGCCTCAAAATATTTTTCATTAGTAAGTTTTCTTACGATTTTTTTTTATCAATTTAATTTATAATAATCTTTTTAATAAATTTAATTTAAAAAACTAAAACTTGCCCCTAATTGCATATTTAAGTGTTTCATTTCCAATAATTTTGAAAATGATCATTATATAATTATGCAGGGATAAACCCAAACCTGTTTTGGTACCCAGAAGCAGTATGGGTACCTCAAAGTTATTTATTATTTGTTGTTTTTCTTTTGCATTTTTATTAAAAATAGGAAAAAATGTTTCAATTGCAGTAGGAAATAAACTAATTTTCCCTTTATTTTATAGTTCATTAATGCTTATTAAAATCTTTTGTTTTGTATTCAAAGAGTTTTTTTTATATATATAGACAATAACTATTTGAATACAAGATATAAGCGTAAATAAGAGTAAATACTATTATTTTATTTTCTGAGTACTAGCTTTCTGTAAATATTGATTAAAATAGTTGTAAGTATTTTAAACATTTAATGACTACTAATATAAAAATTACTAAAATATAGTTACTAAATACTTTATAAAATTTAAATAAATATTTATAAATAGTCTAGCATTTAGAACTTGAACATTTGTTAAAATCCTTATTAAAATAGTGTAAATAAAATAATATAAAAATAAAATTAAAAAATAAAAGTACCATACGCTTATGTTTGCCGCAAAGTTCATGTTTTCAAATAAATGCTTTTTATAAGATGCTACTTAAAATCATCTCCTTATATTCAGATAAAACTAAACAAGATGAATAAAGTGATATTTAGAAATCATTGTGTTTTATTTTTGTTGTTTAAAGGTTGCCACACTTTTATTCATATTTTGAATTAAAAGTTTTTTCCCTTAGGTATCAAAATTCCATAAATGCGAAAATATTATTTTGTTGCATATTGTATTGTGTTTTTGAGCATTATTTACTACATTATTGTTGAGGTTGTTTTGTTGCATTTATAACAAAATAAAAATCTTCACACATAATAATATACTTATAAAAAAAAAAGTTAAAAATATTGTAAAATTAGTTCAAGTAATAAAAAATAGTGTATTTTTTTTTAATTAGCACATTGAATTTTATAATTTATCATGTGTTAACTAGATATTTTTGTTTATGCTTGAATTTAAAAACCAACTACGAGAAATCTTTTTAATTTTGTTCATGGTGAACTGTTCATGAGAACATCCTAAGTATATGGCTTTATTCAGCAGCCAGTACCGCAGGTACTAAAATGATAGCTGTAACTTTAATTAAATTCCTGTAAAAAAGACCTTTCCTACATCTTGTTGCTATTGTCATAAAAAGCTGCACATTTATCAAAAATTGATATTGCTTACTTTATTGAAATCAAATCAATATTCAGCAAACTTCTTGAATAGGTTTACTGATGTCTCAACAGCAGGCAGAATAATTAACGAACAAGGTGCAATTCCTAATATATGTATCTCTCTCTCTCTCAAGCCTCTCAAGCCTTATTTTAAAGCGTAAAATGGTGTACTATGTATGTATGTGTTAAGCCATTTAATGTAAGGACCACTTTAGCCACTTTTTATCATTTTTTAATATTTAAACAATTTTAAAGATATTGTCTAAGCAGTAAAATAAAAAGAGTTAACTTTATAAAGTTAACTTTATAAAAACTATTTATTAAGTTTGGATGACGATCTGATATTAGCACTACTCTAAAATGAAAGAAGTTAAGAAAAAACAAAGAAAATTCAATTTTTGTTAACTTAACTTTTCCATCAAAAATGTTCAGCCGAAGAAAGAAAAAAAACGCATTTAAAAAAAAAAAAAAAAAAAAAACATAAAAAAACTATAATAAAATAACTTCATTGTTATATTGATTTTTATTTAGATGATTTCTCATAAGAGGCCATTGCATAATTATGTCAGGCTGGAGAGTGGGTGGGTTGCTTGAAAGCGTGACAAAATGTGATGTAGGTGGGTGAGTTGAGACATAGGTGGGTGAGTTGAGACAAAAGTGACGTCACGCTATTTGCATTTTATAATAGACCACCTAGACCAAAAGACTGCAGTCACTGACTGCAACAATCACAAGCCGCTTGACGTCACAGAACAATGCATTGTAGCATTTTCTATAATAAAATGATATTTTTTTTACTATAATTAATCTTGAATAATTTATTCAAAGTAAAATATAATGAATTTTTTTATTCATAGTAAAATATAATAAATATGTTTTGTTGTATATCTGCTTAATATTAAAATTCAAACATCATGATTATTTATCGTATAGATAAAGGTTTCTTCTTAAACTTCAGGTTCTCAAAAGAAAGAAAGAAAAAAACCGAATGAAATTCCATTAAAAAAAAAGCATGTGGAAATTAAATGCTCATTTAAACTGTTCTCTTTTGTAGATAGTTCGTTTTAACTTCATATTATATTGAAATGATACATAGATGAAAAATTCGGAAATATTTATCGAACTCTTAATAAAATAATTTTCTTGCCAAAAAGTAACTCTGTAATGGTTTTGTAAATTTTATGGCTTTTAGTGTTATTATATTATAAAATATTTTTATAATAATAAAAAAATGTGTTTACATGTTTATATGGTCATATAAATATGGTTAAATGTGTGATTGTTAATGTGCTTTTAAAGTTAATTTTTGAGGTTTGTAGTTAGATAGAAACTGTCGTTCAAGTTTGTATACATACATAACGTAATATAGATATATAACATAATATAATTCATTTTTGTATTTCTTGCCAAAAATTAACAATTTTTAATAATTTTATGTCCATAGACATGTTTAAGAAAAAGAAATTAAATAATATGCCAGATCTTTACTTAGATCAAGTGAATTACTTATGTTCTTGCATATCCAGAAAAATCAAAGCACAACCAACTGACAGATATACAAAGCCATATACCAGCAGAAATCAGAAAACAAAAACGTTTAGATGAAGTAAATGCAAATATATCTTTCCTTGTATTAAAACAACAGAAAGGTTTAGGTGATTCAGAAGCTGTAGGAAAAGAAATAAAGAACTTGACAGTAGAAAAAAGAAAATTCAACAAGGTATTCAAACTCTTCGACTTAACCGTTGTTGAACACAAAATTTTGCCTGAAAAAAAAAAAAGAAAAATACAAAAAGTCATTCGAAGCTGCAGGTGAAACATTACTTAAAAATTCAGGGTGTCCCAGAAAGGAGCAGAACTATCCAGATCTTCTTAATGTGATTTGGGAACTTGTTTGTTTTAATGAAGCTGGAGCTGTTCCTTGACGTCAATCTGAATTATTGGAATGTGCAAAAACTTTAGATGACCTGACAATAATGCTCAATGAAAAAGGTTACACTGTTGAAAAAACTGCTGTATACAGACTTCTCATACCACATCGTTAAAATACAAATTAAGGCAAAAACTAATGGTTCCAGTGAAACTTGTTAAAGCTCAATTTAATGCTTGAAAAAAAAAATGTAGATGCCCAGTTTGGTTTGGCAGCTATCAGGTTTGTTATGGAACTATGCACACTTATAGGTCCACAAACACAATGCTGTTTTCACCTTATGATAAATCTAGAGTTACTCTTAGAGTTGCTGCAGCAAGTAAGGAATAGCCAATTATGATGAGTATAGATTACCGAGTAATATTGCAGGATCATGATTGATGAGATTGTTAACTATCAATGATGAGATTGCAACAAGGCGGTTGGAATAAAGAATTCTGGGCTAACATAACAATCTGTTCTGGAAAGCATACGCCACGAACTGCCTACAGTCATGGCAGAGATATACGCCACATAATTAATGATGAACAATTTGATAATTTTGTCAAAACGCCATTCAAAAAAATTTAACCATTTTGGGTGTCACGGTCAGATGTAGGACCAGACCAAAATGCACGGTATCCAACAAGTTATTTAAGAGCCATTAATGTCTTCCTGGAATATGATCTTGACATGTATATAGTTGTTATTACTTCAAAAGACTACAGTGCATATAATCCATGTGAATGCAGATTGGCTCCTTTTTCCCATGACATTTGTGGATTGGTTCTTGATCATAAACATTTTGGTTCACATATTAGTGCAAATGGAAAAACAATCAATAAAGAATTAAAAATTTTTTTTTTTTTTTTACACCATAAATGTTTTAGCATCAATATGGAGTAAAACAGTGGTTGACAGTGATATCCAGTGTATGCCATGGCTATTCCAATACCAGAAGGCAATGCAACACTACAGGTTTCCAGAGAAGAAGTTTGAAGCATGTACTTAGAACTCATTATGTACTGTGACCGCGGTCACAGAACATAATGAGTTTTAAGTACATGCTTCAAGTGGTCAAATGCAAAGATGACTTAAAAGATTGCAAATTATATGAATCAAGAAAGCAAGATGAATGAAGCGAATTCCAAAGAACTGATGTTTGAGGAAAAAAACTAGACAAATAAGAGTTTTTGGAACATTAAGGAACAGTCACAGAAAAAAGATGAGACTTAAATGAATGATGAGTAACACGAGAATGAGTTTTAGTAGATGGCACAAGAGACGCTAGCTCTTTAGTCCAGTGTCTATTATAGTATTTGTTATTTGTATCTGTTATCCCCATTTTTTAAAATTCTGGAGAGCAATCTGATTCGTCTAAATATTTATTTCGGATCTTCCAGATATTCTTCCTGTTGTGTACATAAATTGTCCATCTAGTAATTCTCTTTTCAGATATTCAAAGGCTTTTCAGATATTCAATTATTTAATCAATGCGTAGAAATATTTCTTTGTATGCCACATAAAAATATTTTGCTAGTAAATTCCAACTATTTAAAATATCAAATGCATCATTAATAATAGTTAACATTTTACCATTCTTAAAATTTAAAGAGTGGTTTGTTTCTCTCAAATAGTTTAATACTTTTGCCACACTTAAACTTAAGATTGGAGCTGCAATTTTTACTTTCATTTTTTTTCATACCCATTCAATGTGATGAGTTCTAATTTTTGTATCAATATGCAGACCTTTACTATAAAAT